GCTGTGCTTTTTTGCCTCTAGTCCCTTTAAGATTTGCTATTACCCTGCCAGGAAATTAGCTGGCCAGGTTATCTGCAGAAAACAAATGCAAAATGGGCACAAGCAGAACTGAAACCAGCTTGTCTGAACATTCACATTAGTGCTGGTGAATAATCTGCTGCGGGATTTGCCAAGCTGGACCAGACTAAATGTCAAAGAATTGAGGATCTAGCCTTCTCTGTCAGACAGGGAATTGTTTCATTTAGTCATACCTCTGCAGCGGAACGCAGGTATTCAACTTGGGCCAGCGGCAGCACATGACTGTTTTGGGCAAGGTGAGAAGGGGATTTTACCTGGGAAATTCAAGTCAACAAAATCAAATTACCTAAACTACAGTCTCTCTGGATGGGGTTGATGTTCTAGGGCAGGGCTGTCCAGCTTCTGAGTGGCTGGGGGTCACAGGCTATTCAGCCACATGCTCCAGGGGCCACATGCCCCAGGCCACATGCCATGTTATGCCATCTGGGCCTGCCTGCACTGTGTGGTGGGTGCCCTCCTGCTGCACTGCACTGGTCCCCCTGCACTGCGCCACATGGGACCACACTGTGCAATGGCTGACCCCCACTGCATCATGCTGGTGTCCTTGCACAGTGTGGAATCCCTGCGTACTCCAGAGCCCGCCAGCTGTGGGCTCCCTCAGCCCCATGGGCCATGCCATTCTGCCCCATCCCCAGAGAGGGGGAGCCAGAGAGGCCACAGGTTAACCCTTGGGAGGCTGTATGCAGTTCCTGGGCCACCAGATGGACAGCCCTGCCCTAGGAGCAAAGTGATATGAGCTCCAAAGGGCTTTGCTGCTAAGCCATGTTTGAAAACAGGACCTCCTTGGTGTCCCACACTTCTACCATTGGCTTGGACGCCTAATGCTGTGCTGATTATCACCATTGATTGATCTTCTATCCCAGAGTCCCCTGAGGTCACTGTGGTCACCCAAAACTACATGTCACACCAGAAAAAATGAAGAAACAACACAAGACTTGGACAGAAGACTCCACAGCATGGAACACAGAGGCCATGGGACCTATTTTGTTCTGAGAACAAACCCAGTGACACTGATGGGAGGAGTATGCACCTATGGCATGGAGTTCGTTCCCCTCTCTGGTGATGTGCTTGGAACTGACCTGCTCATTAGTAACCAACTCTACTCACAAGCAGACAGTCATTTTGCATGTACCACTTCATTGTCTCTAACCTGGGCAAGGGGTAAGTAAAAGCTCAGACTCATGCCTGCAAATTGCACTGATGCATAGCAGAGACTAATCTTTTAAGGCATACAGAGTAGATCAGGCATAACTTTCACTTGCTCTGGAGCCAACTTGGAAGTCTCAGGTTGCAGTTTTGAAAGATTTTGGTCTTTCAGGGATAACTTGGAAAATATTAACCAGTGTTTCCTTTGCGTGTGTCCATAGACCCTTTGCTCTGCTGACTGAATGGTAGATGGGTAGCAGAAACAGGTTTCCAGAGCCAGACAGCAGGGCATTTGTGTGCCCCACTGGACCATGAGACAG